CCGCTGCTGCTGCTGCTGCTGCTGCTGCTGCTGCTGTTGTTACTGCTGCTGTTACTGGTTGCTGGTTGCTGGTTGCTGGTTGCTGGTTGCTGGTTGCTGGTTGCTGGTTGCTGGTTGCTGGTGCTGGTGCTGGTGCTGGTGCTGGTGCTGGTGCCGCTGCTGCTGCTGCTGCTGCTGTTGTCGTTGTCGTTGTCGTCGTGGTCGTCGTCGTCGTCGTTTCTGGTTGGCGTCGTTCTATGTCTGTCACTGTTGCTGTCACTGTTGCTGCTAGGACGGTTAGAGTCGTAGGACACGGCATTTGCTCTAGTCTTCCCTGCATCCTTCTTCATCTCGATGTTGGTGGCCATTTTCGACAGTTGCTTGCTGTTCCATGTGTGTGCTTAAGGCTCATCGCTCGTGGGTTGAAACGGAGCTGTTGAATGCTCTTGTTCTGGTTTTGGTGTCCGTCGTTCGCCCAGCTGCGGCTTTGTAAGGCGTTCACCTGACGCGGTGGAAAGCGCATGTGAGGTTGGACACCAGAATTACAGCAAGTCTCGCCAGACCAGCAGCAGAGGTGCACCTAAGACCTTGATGCTCTTATCACGACGTCGCGATACCCCGAGGCCCAGAAGTACAAACAACCTGTAGGCCCCAATTCTGCGCCCAGTACCCCGTACCAGACCCCAACCTGCAAGCTTGCGCCCCAAATCTTATGCTCCAGACCTGACGCCAACCCGAAATCCCTAAACCCTGAACCCTAAACCCGAAAACCCCAAACCCCAAACCCTAAACCCTAAACCCTAAACCCTAAACCCTAAACCCTAAACTTCCTAAACCCTAAGCTAAAGCTACTCCGAGGCCGTGACCCACCAGAAACGGAAGCCCTGATCCCCAAACCCGGCAATGCGGGTTTAGGGCCGTTTCGGGTTCAGTCTTTCGGGGTTCAGGGGCCCAAACCCTCCACCCTAAACCCTAAAATCCTAAGCCTTAAATCCTAAACTCTAAACCCTAAACCCGAAATCCTAAACCCTAAATCCTAAACCTTAAGTTCTAAATTCTAAACCCCACACCCCTAAAATCGCTCCGCACAGGTCCGGCCACTTCTCCGAGGTGCAGGCAGCCATCCTCATGCAGCAGATCATCCGCGCAGAGCTCGGCTCTACTCTGGGCTTAGGGTTTAGGGTTTAGGGGTTTAGGGGTTTAGGGGTTTAGGGGTTTAGGGGTTTAGGGTTTAGGGTTTAGGGTTTAGGGTTTAGGGTTGTCGAAGAACTCATAGGCCTCTACTTGCAGAGGGCTTCACTTTGTGTCTCTAATGTAGGGGCCTTCATAAATAGAAGAGGGCTTTTAGGGCCTCCTTAGCCTTAGCCATAATTATAGTATACTGGGCCCCCGAACCCTGATCTAATTATTAAGGCCCCTACATTAGTCTGCGCGCAAGCTCCTGAAAGCCCTCGGCCCTAAACCCTCAAACCCCAAAACCCTAAACCCTAAACCCAATAAACCCTAAACCCTATAGCCTATCACAAAAGTCCCTAAACCCTAAACCCTATACCCCATTACAAAACACCCTAAACCCTAAACCCTATACCGTAAACCCTAAACCCTAAGCCCCTAAACCCCAAACAGGTGCCATCTATTACATGCACGAGAACCATGTGTGCCACCGTGACCTGAAGCCGGAGAACTTCCTGTTCATGACCAAGGCCGGTCCAGTTTAGGGGTTTCAGGGTTTGGAGTTTAGAACTAAGGGGTTTTAGGGTGTGGGGTTTAGGGGGTTCAGGGTTTAGAGTTTAGAATTTAGAACTTAGGGGGTTTAGGGTGTAGGGTTAAGGGTGTAGGGTTTAGGGTTTAGGGTTCAGGGTTTCGGGGTTTAGGGTGTAGGGTTTAGGGTTTAGGGTTTAGGGTTTAGGGTTTACGTGTGTGGCTGTGGGGAGCAGTGTTGATGCTTTAGAGATCTCGGGACAAGAAAGTTTGGGTATGTGGAGTTTCGGCCTGACTGCCCTAAACCCTAAACCCTAAACCCTAAACCCTAAACCCTAAACCCTAAACCCTAAACCCTAAACCCTAAACCGTGGGTTTTGTGAAGGGACTCTGGGGGTCCCAGTCTTTTCGGGGATGTAGAGTTTGGATAATATAGAAGCCCGGCCTAAATATAAAAGGTACTATAAAGAAGCCCAAAACCCTATTCTAATGATTAAGGCCCCTATATTCCTTCAGGGCTTTAGAGTATTTTTTATATGGATCAGATCTGGGAGTTTTTGTTTTGAGTCAGGAGGGTTTGGCTTCAATTCTTTCGGACTCCGGCAAGATTAAGATGTAAGCAAGAGGATACCTGAAGAAACATTCCTTGCCTTCGCTCAAGGATAGTCGGCTCTCTCTCAATCCAACATCCCTCAGCGCTAAATGCAGAAACCCTGAACCCTTACACCTTGTTCAAGGAATGTCCACCGGGTCACCGTGAGACAAAGGAGCCCTTTAAACTACTCTTATTAATGTAGGGGCCTTGCTGATTAGAATAGGGTTTTGGGGGGTCTTTATTATAATTATAGTAGAATATACCCCCAAACCCTATTCTAATTATTAAGGCCCCTAAACCCTAAACCCTTATGGAACCCTTTTAAAGCAACCGGTTAAAGGAACCCCCAAGGAACCCTATTCTAATTACTAAGGCCGCTCTATTACACAGGCCCTAGACCTTCAGCGACGCAGCCCCACGATCCTCCAAGTACTGGGCAACCCTAAGGCGCCAAGAGCCCAAAGCTCAGCAGGGGCCTTGAACATTGGAACAGGGTTACCCTAAACCCTAAACCCTAAAAGAATCAATATACTTACAATGAGGAATCCGAAGGATTCTCGTAATTATTTCGGCTTCTATCTTAGGGTTTAGGGTTT